TAAGCATGCCTTGAATGTAAGTCAATGAAATAACACCTGAAACTCAGACAGTATATATTAAAAAAAAAAAAACAAACAACACATCCATACAACAGATTTAAAAGGATGACAGCTGCACTTTCCATATAAAGTAACTGAGTCTGAAAAGTGAAGGTGATAAGATAGTGATTTAAGAGTAATTATGTGGTGCTAGTTTAAGTTTTAAATAGAAGTTTTTAGTCGTCTTATGCAAACAGATACTACTAGCCATGCACTGCTTGTTGTTTGTGTTTGCTTGGTTTGTTTTGGGAAACATACCCACCTCAGCATAAATAATTATGTCAAGCATCAGAACTCTGCTCTTTATGTTAACAAAGAGATATTAAAAACAGTTTCTTTACAGAGAGCAAAACCATGAAAACACTGGTAAGCTTACTTAACTATTTTACAGTTTTACCTAATTCTTCAGGTCAGGCTGTTCTCAGCCTCTTCTCTCACTGGCCCATATTTCATACAACTCCTCCCACTGTGAAACTGAACTCGCACATAATTTCAGATTGTTTTCTCTGTTGAAAGCCAGGGTACTTGCTTAGACAATGAAAATTGAATAAATGAGCTGAACCTTCTCTGGGCGGGTATTTACTGCTGAGCAGTGACACCCAGTGGCTTGATTCATTGCTTACACACCTATGTTTCTTAGCTTTTAATATACTAAAGCACAGACTACATAACACTTCCAAAATGTGTGTTGCAGTAATAACAGAAAATAAGCAATCTGAAATGACAGTTTTATGAAGGATAAGGAAGTTCTTCATTCCACAGACTTTCAGTCTAACCTTAAGCCCAATGCAAGTGCTCTGTTAAAATGAGAAAATCTCTTGTAACAGAGTAAAACAAATTATTCTTTTACCTTACATGGCTTGTAAAAATCCAAATACATTTTAAAATTAATAGGAGTTTATTATTTATGACTAGTCTGCCCTCTAAACTAACACAATCAAGTCTGAGTGGTCATTACTAGAACTGGGCCATGTCAATTACAGTAATCCATATGGCAACAGCACTTAACATGAGCACCATGCTAAGTTGACACGTTAACATCACTTGTGTCTGCTCCAGTCTAACCACTTGGATGTATTGCAACTAATTAATTAGCATTGCAGCTTGGACAGAGAAAACAGTATCCTTGAGATGAGCTACAACTATATAAGGTCACACTTACATTTCTTCTTCTCGCATCCATACTGGACTCTTCGAAATTTGAGCTTCAAAATATTTAGATGCTTTATAGCAAAAGTTGCTGCAAAAGCACTGGAAATACAGTATGGAAAACGTGACTGAAAACATCATTAGTAATAATGACAACTTAAAAAAAAAAAACAAACAAAAAAAACCCCAAAACTCTCAAGAGCAATCCTGAACCCTGTAAAATGTCCATACAGCTTAAAAGATGTGCAATAATATTTAGGTGTTTAACAATGTAAATTCTGGGTTTTTTTGGTCACATTTTTCAATATGGCTCCTAGAATTTTGCAGCATCCTAAGAAAAAAGAATTATTTTGCACAGTTGTGTCAGATAAGACGACAGAACATCCCAGCACTTCTCAGACTCAAGCTCGGTAGCTTGGAGATGGAAATACACTACTTAGGAACTTCATAATCAAATAGTTTATGAAAATGATTTTCATGAGATCCAAATGCATTGGTTCTGATTCAATCCACTATATGAGTGCTGTTACAAAATGTATTTGTAATGTGGAGACAGTATTAAATACACTTAAAAAACAGCTTGTTACCATACCTTTCTTTCAGTAATATCATAAACTCTGTTAGTTTTTGTTGAAATCCTGTACTTCTGTTTTGGCACCTAAAATGATATGTTGCTTTCATCAGCAAGATTGTCACATTGTTACATAAAACTTTTCTACTAATTCACATTTTCAGTACATGGAATGCTCTCAGTGAGTTGAATTACATACTGCAGCAACCTTTTCGCTCAACTCTCTTGGTATTTTATCTCCTTAGACATAAGAACTACAATTTCTCATTATTTACATCTTAGTAGGCAACTTCAGGTCTACAAAAAAGCCTCTGCTGGGAGTGAATCAATTGCAAAACTACATATTTTTTTCTTTCATTCTTTTTTTTTCCCAGATAACTTCTTGTATCACAACTGGTATTATACCATAGGTTATGTAACTGAACTCCCAGCTCTGATATCTTGTATTTAAGTGTGACTGATTTTGACACAAGTAACATCTGCTTTTGGAGGGGATTTGCAGTCACAAAGTAACGCCCATGTGTTTTACCTTTTTTCAGCCCATCTTACAGAGGTACAGAAGGACAAGATTAGAGCACTTCTGCGTGCATGAAGGATGGCTATGAAACCATATCTTATTCACCTTTATTACTATCAAAATAGATTATAATTGATTCTCTTATACAGCAATGGTTGTCAACCAGTCAGATTTAACTTTTTACTTCAGAAGCATTGTACTGAAATGATACCTGACCAAATCTATGATTAACATTCCAAGTTTAAAATGAAAAAAATAAGCAAGAGAATAAAAAATGCTAATAGATTCTTATGATGACACTACTCATAAAAAAGCATCTTACATTTTCCAGTTTATTTCGACATACAGGGTAGCCACATAATTTGATGATAGACCGTTCATCAACAATGTCTTTATAGTGAGATGGAGTAATACATTTTCCCTGCAATAACAAGAAAATAGTTCAAAAACAGATACTGGAAGATCTGTCATTTTTCATACTCAAATGAAAATAAGCAAATACAAACTTTCCATTTTATAACAGCGGGTTATAAAATAATAAATAGGTTAATAAACAGCACTGAGAACCCACCCAGTAAAAAATAGTAAAAAGTTTAAAAAAAAAATACACATACTTATTTTTGCACTTCATCATATACCTCTAGTGCAGCTATTCTCTCAATTTTCCTCTCTTTACCTGTTACATACACCTACCTGCCATCATATTTACAACCTTAACAGGAATAATCCTCATATCTTCCCAGTAAAACTGCTGCCAGATGAATCGTGTGGAAAAGAGTACCATTGTCTAAATTCATAGAGGGCATGACACAGACCTAACTTTTTGTACTTCCCAGAGGCATAAACAAAGTATGCTTACAGACAGAGATTCATAGTTTTATCTCATCCTACAAAACTGGAGCACATTTTTTTACTGCAGAACCCTTGAAAATAAGGTAACCATCAACAGAGCTGACAAGAGAGAATGAACTTGTCCGCTCTGAACTCCAGCAAACTGTTCTAAGAACTTCAAAAAACAGTTGGACATTAAGATACAAAATAATACCAAAACTTACAACACCTACAGAATTCAGAAGGAACTCTTCAGTAATGTTCTCTTCCAGGAGTTGCTCAACAATATGCAGTGCCTTTTTCTCAAGTTCAATCTTTTTTCTAGTAGAAGCCTCCAGCGCTGCTTTCCTGTAACATAAGAGATGTTAAATGAAACAGCAGCTCCCATAAGTAATTCCCAAAGTGAATATTTATCTTCTTTTCTAAAATACAGTAGCTTGCATTTTCTGTATCTCATCAAGTTGGCCAAACAAAGCAACAAGTGGACTATAAATTTTGTAATAACCACTGAAAAGAAGAAAAAAAAAAAAAATAAAAATCTAACTTTGTTTTGCTTTATTTTCTCCCCAGTCAGGAAAAGTTGCCAAACCACAACAGAATTATTTCAGTTTTGCACGCACCCGTTGGTCATGTATTTTCTTGTATCTTCCATGTATCTGCAGTGAGGCATATTTTAACATATTCTCTTAATATACATAGATTTTAGCCTTTGCTAAATGTTATTCTGATTCTGCAATACAGGGTGATTAAACTACAGCGGCTAAGTGATAGAATGGAGACAATTCTTGTAGCTCTGCCTCCTGCAGGAAAGAAGTTCTCCTGCCACCTGTGTCACCACTGTGAGTCTGAATTCCTTTGGGCAGCTTTCTCCAATGGGCGGCTGTCTGACATCTCTGTGGGGAGCAGGTGGCAGAGGCAGCTGTACTACGGCATTCTGTGCTGGTTAAAGGGGACGCAGCTTTCAGCCCTGTTAAGATGTTATGTGCAGCTCTGGCCAAACAGGATGGCTGTGCCTATTATAAGCAACGCTAAACTGATGTTCAGTTAAAAGACACGCAGCATCACGCCAAAAGCCTGCAGGAGGTGGATGCTGGTGGTCTCTGGAAGTCAGTTATCTCTAAGAAAGCCAAAAACACGGGAAGAAGAGTTACAAAGACCACCATACGTTGCTTGCTAGAAATGGTACCTCTGAGCAGCATCTTCATTTTTTGGAGCAGCTGACCGTTTATTTCCTAGAAATCAAAAACATGGACCCATATAAGTGACTTTTCTTCCTTTAGCAATGGAAAACATTGGTACTTTTAAAAAATCTGAAGACTTCTGCAAGCACAGTGGAATGCACAGAACCTCACTTTTGGCGGCTATGCCTTCAGCAAGGCAATAACCACTCAGCAACGTCAGGCACAGCTTTTGTACCGCTCCTGGGGTAAGCACGGCCTGCCCTAACCTGGACGCGGAGCCGATACGCCTAGAATATGTATTTTTAGGTGAAAGCTCTCTGCAACCGGAGACGCGGAGACACCGGCCGCCGGCAGCCTGACGCGCTGCCGCAGTCCCCGCAGAGCCCGATGGGGCTCGGGCCCGCCTCATCCGACCGCTTGCCGTGAGCCGGGCCCCAGGCAGCCGCTCTCTGACTCCCACCGTGCAGCCTGCCTGGACGAGCCGAGCCGCCCCGAACTCGCGGCATCGTCGTGTACCGCCAGCCGAGGCCGTCCTGCCGCCCGGCGCAACGAGGAGCGCGAGCCCGCTATGCCAGCCTGCGGACGCTGCGCGGCGCGGAATTCACCTGCGCGCCGCCGGCCGGGCCTCCCCTTCGAGCTGCCCTGCGGCTTCCCGTCCGCCATCACGGTGCTGCCGGCTCCCTCCCTCTGACCTCTCACCGGAGGCGGAGCCGCGTCGGCCCGGGCCGGGAGCGAGGAGGGGCTGGAGAGCGGCGCGGCTGCGGTGGGAGCTGCGAGCGGTGAGCGCTTCTCACGGGCTTTGTTTGGTTTTAATTCAGCCCTGGGTTAATGGCTTACGTTAGCGGCGCCTCGTGCGGGCGTGTGCTGCACCTCGCCCCGGGAAGCTGCCGAGGAATGTGTTTAATAGAGGAGCGAGAGCGCTGGGTGTCAGCGGCAGAAAGCTGCTAATTGTTTCGATGCCGTGCGTTTGCCGCTGGAACCACTGGAAAGATGTGATTAGAAACCGGGTTAAGTCTTGAGGCCCGAGAGCGTGTGGGAGCTGAGCGGCAGGTCCTGCTGCGCCGTGCGTGCCGTCACGTGTCCGCGGCGGGGAAGGAGAAACGGCGGCGTGTTGGTGTTGGTCTGAGGGCGCGTGACGTCCTCGCAAACGGGCGGCTGGGAGCGCGGCGTGCGCGAATGGAGCGCGTGGTGTTGTGAAACTGAAAGATCAGGCTGGGGACGCAGCCGGATTGCAGGGAGGTACAGATGTTAGAATAGGCGGCTGTATTCTCTGAGCATTAAAGTCTGCACACGTGTGTTTTTATGCTGCTGTGAGTTGGCTGGGTTTTGTGTTAGGTAGCCGAGGTCAAGCTCAAAGGGAAGGATGGAGGATGGCATGTTGTAAGAATGTAAAGTCTGGGTGCTTTGATGAACGGTTTGCTAATTATCCAAGGGCAGAGGTGATGAATAGGCACAGTGGTTGTATAACCAGACTTAGGCAGAAGAAAGTACTCAGAACTGTGAAAGTAAGCAAACAGAAATCCCCAAGCTTGAAGTTTTCAGAGATAAAGGATCTGGAGATAAAAGACCGCTTAATCAGCCAACCCAGACGTTGCAAGGAAGTAAATGATGTTGCATATGTAGTCTTGACTGGACTGAAACACTGTTGGTGCAAGGCAGCAGGCACCTGCATGCACTGTGCCTCTCCCAGGCAACAAGCAGAGTGCTCACCAGTGAGGGCACCCCCAGAAAGCACCGCATGGGGATCTGGTGGCGTGCAGCGAGCTTGGATGTGCTCCATGTTGGCTGCAGTTGTCAATGAACGTGGCTGTGCAGTAGCTAAGAGATTGTTCTCATTTCTCTATTTGATGTCTTTTTATAACATGGTTTTCAAAAATTTCTGTGTTTACTTCATGTGTTTTAATACTGTACCTTTTAATTCATAATAGTTTTCAATGCCTGAAGAACAAACTGAAACTATAATGGCAGTTGATGAACTTCAAGCCATAATAGAAAGATGCGTAAGTACTTCCCTTAAAAGTCACAAATGCAAGCAATGTAAGTTTCACTTTATAGCTTCAAAACACAAGATGCTTGTTAGCAGATCTCCTCCCTGTTATCTGGATTCAGACTCCATTTCATTGACTTCTCTGTGACACTTATCCCAGGTTCTCCCTCTTGGAGAAAGAAGTGTTCTTGTTTCTCTCACAGAATCACAGAACTGCAGGGGTTGGAAGGGACCTCCAGAGATCATTGAGTCCAGCCCCCCTGCAAAGCAGGCCTCTTATGGTAGGCTGCATAGGTAGGTGTCCAGGAGTAGTCTTGAATGTCTCCAGAGAAGGAGAACCTCCCTGGGTAGCCTGTTCCAGTGCTCTGTCACCATTACCATAAAGAAGTTCCTTTGCATATTGGTGCAGAGCTTCCTGTGCTCCAGTTTATATCTGTTTCCCTTTGTCCTGTCCCCACAGACTGCTGAAAAGAGATTGGTCACATCCCTTTGACTCCCACACTTAAGATATTTATAGGCATAAATAAGATCACCTCTGAGTCTTCTTTTCTAAAGGCTGAACAGACTCAGTTCGCTCAGCCTTTCCTCACAGGGGAAATGTGGCCCTTTATCATTTTTGTGTCCCTCCATCAGACTCGCTGTCTTTTTTGCAACGGGAAGCCCAGAAGTGGATCCAGTATTCAGAACTGGATCCAGTACTCAAAGTGGATGCAGTACTCCATATCACAGGCATCTTCTAGATAGCCAACCGCAGTTTAGTCTTAGAAATAGCTACTGAAATACTGCTTTATCTTCTGTGGTAGCTCTTGGTAACCTCTTACGTATTATCCTTTATGTATTAAAAGAAAAGTTACGGTGACACTACATCTACTTTTGAAAAGGAAGCTTATGTTTACCTATTTTTGTATTTACCTTTTTTAAAACAAGGAGTTAAGCATGCTAATTTTCTTTATAGCAAATTCTGGAAGAAGCTGATTTTAGAGGAGAAGATTATGATCTGTTTCAGGTAGCAGGTCAGAAATGTTTAGAAGATGGGTATGCTGCTCAGTTATTAGAAGTGATTCAAAATGTGAAAAATAAGGTGAGTTGAAGTTTGACTTCCATAAATACGATCCTTCTGGGTTTAGAAAACGTGCAGTTTTTGTTGATTCTCTGAAAATCTGATTCGTAGGTTATCATCAAGAATATGGGTTGGAATCTCATCTCTCCTCTTGTTAGATGTATTTTAGCATATAAAAAGGAAGATGAGAAGCGAGAACTCTGCCTGAGGATACTAGATCAGTTGGTGCAGGTATGTTTTTGAAATACATGATTGTAACAACATACTTCTAAGGAAGGTGCAGAAATTCTTTCTGACTTCAAGAGAAAATAGGACATGAACGCTTCTGAGTTCTTCTGTCCATTCCACATCACTGTTAAACTCATGGTCCAGTTTTATCTGAAGTAGACACAGCAACAGCATTCTCAGAGGTAGTGAACTTTTTAATAAATTTAAACAATTTTAGACAAAACCAAGCTAGACATCATCCAATACAAAGTCCTTTGCAACCAGTTTTTGCAGTTAGTGTAGCCACAGCAAGGCTACCTCTTGTCTGTGGCAGGTCATTGAATGATTTGAAAGCACCCAGAAGTTTTATTGAGTCCAACTACTGCCTACACACAGGGCCACCCAAAATTCAAGCCCTGTGTCTGAGGTGTGCTCCAGAAACTTAGTAGACTCTGGCAGGATTTGGGCTGTGACAGTGGATAGCTGACGGTTCTGGTGAAGTCATAGGGAAATAAGATTTAATCTGCAGGAAATTCCCTTCCAGTTCCTTTTCAATTATCTACTGGGAAAACAATTTGCAAATTAAGCCAAATTCACACTGAAGTTTTTCTTTTCTCTCTACTGCTAAGGAATAACTTCTTGCTGAAGTACTATGAAGTGCCCATACAGAATAGCAAATCTAATGGCACTAAACTTGATTTCTGTGTTTCCAGCTTATGTGAAAGTGTACATGCATTTACACTCAGTATATTTACTATAGGGATATATTTATTGTTTTATCTTTGATTCTTTAAAGATAATTTGGGATGTTCTAATCTGTTTTCTTAATGTTCACGAGTTTCGGTTGTGGTTTGTTTGTGATGTGTTTTTTTTCTCCTGTTTGTTTGGTTTGTATTTTATAACTGTGGTGATAAAACATGCATATTGTTCATCTCTTGTAGCTGTGCAATCCAAAGGAACTTTTTTTGGGTTTACTTGAGCAGATTGAACAAACATCAGGAGAGCAGGTGTGCCAGACTATCATGTTACTGCTTCAACCTTTGCAGACAGGTAACATTGACTGTCTCATGTGATTTCTGACAACAAAATTAATTAGTTTATTTATATATGTATATATTTATTTATTTATCTATCAGATTAGCTTAACCTTTGGTGAAGTAATTTAAGAAGATTTTAAATAAGATTGATAACCTCAGTTGAAAAAGCAACGTTTTTCTTCATTCATGAAATTTGGTTATTATTTGTAGTTGTAAACTGCTCGTATCCTTGTTGCAGAAATAGGATTACATGGATTCATAGATGTGGAGAATTCATTATTAAACATTTAAAACTTTAAAATTATAAAACTTCTACTTGTAATTGAAAAGGGTTGAAAAATATGAATTGAAAAACTGCATTCTTCTGTTTTATGTGCAAAAATTAAAAATACAGATTGAGATACTAGTTAAGTAGGTAACAAGTAGTAGTTTCTCTCTTGGTATGTGAAAATGAATCACACTTACCAAGTTTAAGTCCAATTATAGCAGTCTCTGAGCTCTGTTACTGAATTAAGTTAGAATTTAACAAGAGAAGCACTTTGATAATGAGAAATATGTATTTTGTTGCATACCAATCTGCAGCTGGTGTGCACTGAGATCAGTTTAAATGGAAAGTGACTTGTGCTGCTTCCTCAGGCTGGGGGACCCCATGTTGTTTTTGCTACAGACTACAGAACAGTTCTGAGCTGCTTAATGAAGAGTCAAACCTCAGCAGAAAGTTTTGTCAAACGAGAAAGAGTAAAGCAAGAAAGCCATACTAAAGAAGTTTTCCAGGCCAGAGAAATGGACATTATTTCGTTTAGGCTAGTTCTAGAAAGACAAATTTTTCAGTCTTTGTGACTTTGCAACAAAGAGGAATGTGTGGAAATTCAGGACTGCTTTAATGCATCATTCTCAACTCTATGGTCATATTAAGTACAGTGAAATAGATTAACTAATAATGGTGATAAGCTGATAAGTCTTGCTGGACTTGTCCATCTGAATTGAGATATTACTTCTTTTGCTCCCCTGAAAGTGAAGACTTTCTAGTACAGTGACATCATAGTTCTTCACACATTCCTCCAGCAAATATTAACTTAATGTCTCAAAATGTTCTTTTTGTTTCAGTGCTTTTGAAGCTTCAGAACAAGAAGGCCTACTCGGTGGGCTTATCTTTGGCCATGATTATGAATCAGCTTACTGCCTTGCCTGTACCTTATACAAAGCAACAAATACAAGAAGATGAACTTGGTCTCTGCCAGTGTTGTAATGCAGTGGTGGACTTTGCTAAACCTTTTGTGAATGAAGTTGTTAAAAACGTGGAAAAGTCATCAGAATACAATGACATGGAGCTGAAAGAAGAATTATTGAAGTTGTGAGCATTTAGTATTAGCTTAATATATTCCTGTAAAGAAACAAAATGAACAGTAGACATTTATTACGCGTGCAGTAGATAAATAATCTTACTAAAGGTTTTATAGTGCTGCCAACATGTAAACTAATGCTGTATTTCAAAAAGAAAAAAAAATCCTTTGCTTTTTTATGAAGTGAAAGAAGAACAGTAAAATTTTTTAGTACAAGGAAATTAAGAAGTATAAGTCTCTGTGGTATGGAGCTGATTTGGTAGTCCTGGTGCTTCAACTCAAACTTGCAAAAGTGAGGATAATCCTATGCTGGAGGTAAATTCTAAGAAATGCTCTGATGGGAGACGTTTTTTTCTTCTATTCTTGGAATATCAGGAACAGCAGCAGTCAGAATGAATATAGACCTTGTTGTTGGCCATTGATGACATTGCTGTGGTCTCTATTTGTGAGATTTTATAAGTTTCACTTGTTTTTCTTCAGCTGTATGAAAAGCCTGAAATACCCATTATTGACAGCTCAGCTTGAACAACTGGAAGGCATTGAAGAACATCCATTTCGCCATCTTGCAGCTGAAATTATAGTAAGTGCAGTCACTGTGAAGTGAAGTGTTTGCCAAAGCAGTCATGTGGTTCAGAACTACCAATAGGAAGGTCATTTCATTTCTGTTACTGCTTAGAGTGGTGGCTGACCAGGCCCCATACAATAATGCGGGTATAGAAAGGTCTGCAGTAGGCTCAGGTTCCATCCTTGGAAATGATAAACCTTACAGATACACATGCTCCTTGATGAGCCAGTTTGGAGTGTTGTCTGAATCAGTAGCTGCTACTTCGTTTTAGCTCCTTCTTTTTCCCTGGTTAAGTATGATTTTTTAGAAATATCTGTCTTTGCTGCTTAGTGAAGGTAAAATCTGAGTATTAATCCAAATTTCGCATTCAGAAATCTCTTACTTGCCTGAAGTGCAGTGCCAGCTGGCAGGTAAGGAATAAAAATTATTGCTTGACTGCTGTTGCTGCGATAGCTGGATATGGCTCCCAGTGTTAAAGATTGTTAAGTCAAGCACACTATGAAGTTAGCAAAACTTTTGGTTGTTTTCAACCACAGTTAGTTTTTCTATCATGTTCACTTCGTTTTTTTTTCCCCACAGCATATCTCAGTCAGTGTAGGATGGAACTGCTGCATGGATTAATTGGAGCTGTGCAATGAAAGAGAAGCTTGCCTGTGAGATCTTTGCTTCTCTTATTGCAGAACTTTTAAGATGTGCAGTGATGGTGGCAGAGATTACCAGAAGATGATATAAAGGTTAAAATAGTTGAGGCTGCTCTAAAAAACGGCTTTTATCCCTGCCTTTCCTGTTGGGCACAGTCTGAAACCTTTTATTATGCTAATTATGAATCAGTTTTTCTTCATTTTCTCAAGAAATCCACTTCTGCTGTTTGTGGAATTGGGTAACGAGTGCTGCAGCTAAGGTCAGTAAGGATGCATTTAAGTATGTGAGGTCTGATGTAATCCTAATTCTCCAAAATGTCAGGTCTTGGATATTTGGTTTGGACAACACTGGCAGGGTGGATTAACCTCTGATTCTTTGTAATTCGTACAGTAGAAATTACACTAACTCTTAATGCACATAGATGTGTTGGGGTAAAGAACACACATGTAATAGTTGTGAAGTTCTCAGGTGTCTTCTTGCTGTGAATGGAAAGGCCATACAGAACAATTCTAACTTTAAAACAGGGCTTGCCTTTGGTGGGTAAACATTGCACTGCATAGTGTTTAGTGATCAGAGAGCAAAATACTGAGTACTCTGTGAAAAACACAAGTCTTGTGGCATAACTTGGTCAGGAAGCCATTCTTATTCATAGCATCTGTAGATAATGGAGACTAATTAGGTTTTGCAGGGTGGCTTATATGAAATCTTTTGCTAACTTTTGAGTGCTTGACTTTGCTATCTTAGTAGCGTTTTTCTGACAGTATTTGTTTTTCCCAGAAGTATGTATCATAAATATTCACTAAATATTTACAGTAATTTCTACATACCCCACCTAGGATATTTTACTGTAAATACTGCTTAAGCTATGTAATTTATTAAGCATACAGATTTTTAAAGGCAGTGAAATGAAATCTAACTTTCTTTTTTAGGACATTTTGCTGGATATAGGAGAACTAATGCCACTAGTGTTCTTACATCATAAAAGCAGAAGATCATACTGGGAGAATCAGGAGTTTGAGGATATAGAGCGAAAGAATTCTGCAGATTCTTTGGCATGTCTGTCATACCTGGTGTTTGTTCAGCACTTTGGTATCAATTGCTTTCCAATGGTATTTAGGTAAGAGCTCTTCTTCCTCACTTACATTAAGTTTGTACTTCGAAAGTTCCGAGCAAAATAAAACTATTTTGTTTTTAACAGCTATTAAAGAAAACTATTTCATCACTTTTGTGGCAACTTTATGTAGCTTAACAGTCCTGCAAATTACTCTAGTGCAGTTTGATTGTAGATGAGCTGACCTTTTAAAGAAACTGATAGAATTAGTCTTATGCTGAAAGCTAATGCATACTAAAATTATATAGACAAATGTCACATGAATTATAAATGGAATTGGATGTAGTGCTTTGCATGTATTTCAGAATTATTAATTTTGTAAATATCCTTCTTCAGATTTTTCCAAAAGGACTAATGCTTTCAAATGGATTAGTTGTGAAAATGTATGTGGCTTATGCAGTTTAATATAAACCTAATTTTCTTTTTTAGCTCATCATACCTTCTCCAATGCAATATGACACATATTGAAGTGCTACTGAAAAGGTAGGATTATATGATATTTGGAACTCCAGATGATGATAGAGGGAACTTTTTGTCTTATGTTTTATTTCTGGTCTTTTATAATAATTCATAGAATCAAATTCTGATTATGCCAAGTAAGTTCCAAGGAGATCCTTAAAGCTGTCAGTTAAAATTTCAAGCTGTGTGACAAGATGATACTCTCTTTTTCTAAGAGCTTTAGCAAATTGTCTAAAACACTCATCTATTGTTTTTAGAAAATTTATTCAAGAACTCAGAATTAAGGCAGAATAATTAGTGTACATTTATTTGTAATTCTGTATCAGTTTACTTTTAAGAAGGACTATAAGATAGTGCTTAACTGAATGTATTCTGATATGCTGCACAATCTGACTAGAGGTCTGTTGTTCTAGAGGAAGCCAGGCTTCTCTGTATGTTTATTTTGCCTTCCATTAGCAGCAGTGTTGACCAAATAGTTTCTAGCATTGTTGTAGAAGGGAGTCGTGATTATGACTCCTTGTTATTTCCTAGTAAAACAAAACCTCTTGGCCTCTTCTTTGTAGTATTTGCTGCATTTTTCTTCGGCTTGCAGAGTTATGTATGTTCATAGAATTGAATAATAGAATAATTTGTTTTCTTTGTTAATTAGTATCTTGATACCTGGGATATGAGCTGCTACCTTACAGATATTAAGAGGGAAAAAAAAACTAAGCAGTTCTGACCCTAAAGAGAGGACTCCAGTTTGCAGCTTTTATTTATTATATAGTGTCAATATATTCTAAAAAAATTTTTGAGAGACATTATGAAGGTGTGCTTAGAAATCAGAATGAAAATTGTTATTGGCCCAGTTCCCTTTTGACATCTACTATTTCATCTGAAACATCATCATTAAGTGTCTCCTTAATTTACAACTTGATGTCTTTTTCTTTACAGAACAGAAGAATCTGTGTTATCTAAAGGACTTGTAAGTTTACTTTTCCTTTGATCAAATGTTCATTGTTAGAATGCTGATTCTTTTCAATTTTAGCAGTTGTAAGACCTTAGTTTCTCTTTCTTAGAAAGGTATGAATGGTTTGGGTAACTGTTTCAGAAATGTTTTGAGGCTTACTTAGATGTTCTTCAGTCTTACAAACGTTTAAATAAATTTACTGAATATTACACACATTCATATACATTTAAACTACCATTACTACTTAAATTTGCAGCTCCTAGAAGCTCCAATATGTGAATTGTACAAAAGATTGTTTTATCCATGAAATGTTAAGCATACAGATCAACGTCTTGTATATATGCAAAGTGTTGGCGGTTGTTTATTTTTCCTTCCCACCTGCAGGATCTGTTTCAGAGCTGTTTATTGAGAATGGAAGATAATGGCCTTCTCCATGAGTATTTGGAATTCAGAGAATTTATTAATGTGCCTCAGGTAACAAGAAACAGTGTACAGAACTGCCTCTGTAGTTGATTATAGAGCACACCCAGCTGTTTTCTCAGTGTTGGAGGGAGGTCATACTACTGAACCTTCATGCAATTGTGTTGTCAGACTGAAACCTGTGGTGTCATGCTGTACTGAATTCCATGCTGTACTGAATTGTTTGTCCTCTGATACGTGCTGCAGCATGAAGTTGTAATGACAAGTAAAATATACTTTAGATGGCTCTTCTTACTTTGGCTACGTTTTTATTTGGACACAACTGTTCATAGCCTGGCTTGTTTGTTACTACCTTGAACAGATTTTGTTCAATGTGATGTAATAATGTGCATGTAATTAGAATTTGTTTTCTTTGCCCAACTGCAGGATTTGGTGAAAATTATGACCCTTTGTCCCATAGAACATCTGGTATGTAATGTGAACTACAGAATGATTATCTACTGAGTTTAATTAGAATAAATCAGAGAATGTGTTTTTGTTATTATTAGCATTTAATACATATATGATTGTTTTTTTAGAGAAAGAAGAGTTTGAGTATTTTGCAATTGTTCATAGATAAATTTGAAGCAGAGGGAAAATATACATTATTCAGGTATGCATTCAAATTACTGTAGATAGTATAATACAAGCCTCACTGTAACTTCATTGCTTGCAAACTGTCAGAAATCATTTTTGTCTATCTGGTAAACCACATTAACTTTATTATGTTAATTGGTGAGTAAATAATGAATGTCAGTTGTCTCTTATACAATGAGCTGTCAGATGTAACCCAATGTTAAAACTGCCACTCAGTGAATAAGGCATAGTGTTGTCCAACTCTTCAGCTAACGACGTAGGCAGTGTTGAAGGTATAACATCTATTTTTGTTTGAAGGTGTTTACTGAAGACAAGCAACCATGCTGGTGTAGAAGGATACATTATTAAAAATATAAAAGATCAGATTCACTTGTCGGTAACGGTAAGCCTATTGCCATTAGAAACAATTTTTCTTCTCAAAATTGTATCTGAGTTAAGTTGAGAAAGCATGTATAACTTAGGATTTGAGCAGTGCATTTAAAAAAGAAAAACAAAAGAACCACATGTTGAATAGAAGCATAAGATTGGGAAATGTTACAGGATTGATTTGGCTCCTTTGTGCCTGTGTATTTTTATATTACAATTCCTCATATGCGCTTTCAAATTACACGATCCCACTGCATTTTTTAATAGGTTATTATTATGTTTTCTGTACTTGAAAACATAGATCCTTAAAGATCTATGTGGTATTTTATTTCATCCTCACAGTTCCTCATTTTCTGAATATAATTTAAATGCTACAGTCCAGAAAGATCTCTTATGTTTTATCTTGTGTTTTATGATGACGTTCAGCATTACACTGTGTTTCACAAATGCTAAATTCATTAGAAAGAGTTGAACTAGATCAAAGCCATTGAAATCTCATATTTTATAATCATTTATGGAAGGAAATTGGAAAACTTAATAAAAAGTAAATTATTAACTTCTTTGTTTTTTCATCTCTTCTCCTTTTTACTGCTTAGGGCATTTTTCAAAGCAAATTTGATCTCTAAGGTCTTTTTTTTTGTCAAATGAGATAATGCAGTAAACTCATGCATATTTCATCTTAACATTTATATCTTATAACACATTTATTCATAATTCATATCATAATGTATAACAGAGAATTACTTTTATTCGATTGTAGCCTGCCCTGTGCAATGAATCAGCAGGGGATAAACAAAATAATACTGTGAAAACCCTTCCAAAAAGGGCTTGCACTAAAGTTGAATAGTTAAAACGTGTTCTGGAATCTTTTACTGATGAGTTTGTTAACTATGCAGCTTCAGAACTCTATTAATACATTTCTTCTCTGTGGAGTGCCCTGTCAAAAAGGCAAATAATTTACAAATTTCATTGTATAGACTTGAATATTCTAGATTTGTTGCAAATAATTTGCTGCAGAGAAGATACAAAGAAATGGATAAGAACAGAAAATCATTACCAACTTATTTCCCTGCCCAGCTTTTGTTCATCTTTCCATATTCCTCATTTGACCTGACTTAACACAGACGACCCTTCTTGTTTCGCTTGCAATCCATTTCTGGCTTTGTCTTTTTTCCCTCTTGGATAAGTTTTGTCCTGTATGTGATATTTCTTTGTCCGACCTCTGTCTTAGACTTCACCAAGGTGGGATCTTTGCAAAATAACTGCTCTCAGCTCTGTTGCACTGATGTGGAATACCCTTTTAAAGAGGCCATGAAAATTTCAGAGATGAACTCGCTTGCTCAGTCAGCGCTGTGCAGGAAGGCTCAACAGTTTGCACTGAGGAGGGTCTTAGCATAGCTGCAAGTCCTTCACAAGCTTCTGCTAAGCAAGTGCAAGAAGTTGTTTGGATTGTTTGCCTTTCTTCCTTTACTCACTTCATAGTTTGGTGTAGTTTAGCAGAATTTTTGTGAAAATAAGAAATGGTCTGTCTGTGATGCAGACAGCATCAGGATTATTATGTCTTGTCACTTCAAAACCTGGTGCTTTCCATCTTATGCTTGAATTATTCTCCTTCCTATTCTCTGTCCTTTATCCCCTTTCAAAACAAAATAACATTATGCATCTTCCATCAAAGAACCAAAGAGGTGAAGTTGTCCTTCAGCAGACATTGCTAGAAATTGGTGTTTTAAAAATACATACCAAAAAAAACCCCCATTAAATATCTTGATAAAAATCTTCTCTACTGAAATTGAGAAGAACAATCTGGGAGGCACAGGAGAGAATTGTGAAAGGACAAATTTGTGTACTTCGGTCACATATAATAATTATAATAATGATAAAGTATTTCTTTCAGCATTTTTCTTTTTTTTTAATTTCTGTTTTCCCCAAATTGTTGATGTGATTCATAGAGTACCTTGATCTGCAAGATCCACTAGGGTCATGAAGTCCAACCTCTGGCATTGCACAGAACCACCCAGAAAGTCATATTTCTGAGAGCATTGTCCAAATGCTACTTGAACTCCAGCAGCCTGGGGCTGTGACCTCTGCTCTGGGCAGCCCGTTCCATGCCCAGCCACCCTTGGTGAAAAGTCTGTTCTAACACCCAACCTGCCCCTCTCCTGAAGCTCCATGCCATTCCCTCAGACTCTGTCACTGTCAGCAGGGCTCAGCACCACTCCTCTGCTCGCTGTGAGGAGCTGCATCTGTCATAAGGGCTCCCCTCAGCTCCTCTGCTCTGGACCACGCAAACCCAGGGACCTCATCCGTTCCTTTATGTCTTACCCTCTAGACCCTTCACCATTAAATTATCTCTGTTAAATTACGTAAGATTTAATTATCTCAATTTAAGGTTTAAATTACTTACTCAGCTAAACTTTTTGTATCGTTTTCAGAAGGCACACGACAACATTTGGTTTACGGGACATCACCTGATCTCCCTTCTAGATTTAGTGCTTTTGCTTCCTGAAGGTGCTGAGACAGATCTTCTCCAAAACTCAGATAGGTGAGTTGTAATCAGAGGCTAGAGGCTTCTGTTTTTTAATCGCTTACAAGTCTTCAGACCACTTTACTACAATGAGGTATACCATCATGTAACTAATTAAGTGAAAACATCAATGTATTTTAGGTTTTTTGAAATAGAGATGTAAATGATCTTCTATTTAAACTATCACCTATTTCAACCAATTCTGTGTAGAAAAATGTTACAGTGCTATTATATTGATGTTGACAATAAGAGAGGAATTCCTTCTGTGTTCCCTGAGAATATAAGGTCTGATGTCAGGTTACAGAACTAATTGGTAAAGCATTGTGTCAGGAATGTATGGTTTGTCAGCTTTCTGCACAAGCAGAAGAATAACTTTAGCAACATAAGGAACAAAAGAAATATGGTCTGTCTCTTCAGGGGTATAAAAATTATTTAATGTAACTTACAGCAAATGATATTTAGGTGGAAGAAACAGTAAAGTTTTTGCTAAAAAGCATGGTAAGAGAAAAAGCATATATAAAAAGCATGCAGAAGTGAAAATTCATAAAATAACTTTTAAAAAGCCTATTGTCATACTAGTGCAAATCAACTGTGGATTACCAGTGATGAATACTACAGTTTTTTTGTAATGTAATTTTGTAGTCTCTTGAGAAAACTCCTTCCCTCACAATTATTGACCTTCCAGTCTGCTGCTAGCTTGAATCATACTTGCAGAGTGTCAGCTTCTCTTTTAACAGGGAAGTTGCTGTGCTCTTGATTAAGCCATACTGCTCAACAGATGAGTGGCTTTATTTTGAACAAATGGATATTTGAGGGTGTCTGGCTAAGGGACAATTTAAGTTATTATCCCTGCAATAAATATCTGCACTTTGAGTGATCAGCAGTATATTTTTTTTTCACAGGATTATGGCATCACTAAATCTACTGAGATATTTAGTCATTATGGATTGTGAAAGTGATAATCAAGTAAGTACTGATTGATGTGAAAATTATTGATTTTTCATCAGCTATGGACTGAGCAGAATTAATGTGATCACTGTTATTCTCTGTTCATAGATATGGTTTTTGCATTATTCTCCAAAATAGTCAGTAATCCAGAAGTGGTATTTTAGCTGTATATGGAAATGTGTGATATTTTGTTTTATTCTGATGAAATTTGATTGCATTCATACTCAACTGTTACAGTAAAGAAGTTAATCCTTTTATTAAAGTGTGATAAAGCATTTCCTGAACTCAGTAAGCAATGGCATGGTCAGACAAATATTCTAACCAGCATTTAGTTGTCCCAAGGTAATTTGTTGTATTTCCCCAGTTTGTTGACTTTATAGTTCGGGCTAATTGACTTTGGCATCTCATTTTCTCCTAAAATACTGGAAAAATTCTGATCCACTTTTAGAGCGCATTTGGTTCTGTGAATACATGTTCTGTAAGTGCTTGGGGGTGTTTGGATGGAAAGATAGTAATATGGTTGGTACTGATTACTAAAAGCATCAGGAAAATGAACTGTAAAAATAGCTTTCAATTTTGCATTTCTTATGTTGTTTAATTAAGTAGATATAGAGTATCAGTTCCTCAGATGTATGGATTTTATTTTACATCCCCATTATAGTGTGCTGTATTTCATATACACACATAGCTTTGTAAGCAAAGAAAGAATCCCTCTTCAATTATTAAAACTCTATGCATAGTAGCATACACAGTTGCTGCAACTGCTATCTAGTATTTGACATATAGAACATAATTATGGTTTGAGGAGAAAATAACATCAACTTTTCTGAAGTTTTTCCTTAAATTTAAACCATGCCAGTTCTTACAGACTTTCCCTTTGACTCCCTTCAGACAGTGCAAGTGGAACACAAAGATAATAATTCCTTTCATCTTAGTTCACATGTTTTAACTGCTGCATAACAAGTGCTTTCATGAATCAAGTAGAAAATCAGATGTTTCTGGATAGTTATTTCTTCATTTTAGCACCATTAATGTGGAAGTCGTTACTGGTCTTATTTGATTAGAATTTCTTGAATTGTGCCTTGTGATCACCAGTACCATTTAACGTTGAGAATTCTTATTTTCATCATCTTTTACCCTGCCCTTCGATGATCCTCCTTGAGGAAAGGAGTCACTTAAATGGCTTCCCTATCTAAAGACACAATGACTGCTTTATGTTTCGTTTCCTTCTACAGCAGTTTTGTAACTGCAAGCTTATAAGGCATCAGAGCAGAGTTTTCCTCTCATGCTGTGTAACCTTGAACAGCCTTGCTTTTGAGCAACTTTCCCTCATCTCACTTGCTTCCTGAGCACCATTGTTATCAATTCTTCTCAGCCATCCCAAACTGGAGAGTTGGTTCGTGTGTCACTTTGGCTGCTGCACATAAGGGCATAAATGAGTACAGAGCATAGCAGTGTAACAGCTTTTTTTTTAAAAAATATGATTAATTAGGGGTTTCATTAAAATTTTAACTCGTAAAACGCTTAATGCTTGTTTTCGATTAAATGTATGTATTTATTTAACTATATTTCTGTATGAAATTTATATAAATGTGTGTAGTGAAGACAGTGATTGGGAAGACAATATCTCTACATCATAAAGCCTTTATGGGGTCATCACTTGCTTGCAAATTCCATATTTCTGGTGCAGCAGAACCGTGACAAGTCTGAACTCTTGTTAGTGGGTAGTAGCAACATAGGCACAACTTAAAAAACAATTGGATTCTGCAGTAAGCAAATATTTAATACTTTAGTGTGTGTTTTAAGGGAGATTGTAATATGGTCCAAATTTGGTACATGTTCTAAAAACAATAGGTAAAAAGACCTTAAAAGAATTATGTATGGTTCCTACATACTAGTAGGATCTAATTCACTGTGGCAGTTGAGAATGCAGAGGTGGGCTTGGCAGCATATCTAGTGACATTCCATCAGTGCTTAAACTAACTGCAATATATAGACAAGAGTTTTATATTTGAGATGCATGACATTTACCACAGCTTTCAGTTGTCATTGCAATGCAGTGTTAATTCAGGAATGTTAATTCAAACATTTTTAAACTATCACATGCTGTGTGTGCTTACATGCATAAGTCTAATTTTTTATTTCCTTCCCACTACAGAATTTTACGAATGAAGACTAGTAAAAAAAATTATACTTGAAAACTTAGCATTATGATACTTCATTAAAAATAATTTGCAACGTTCTCTTTGCCTTTCTCTTTGAATAGACTGGTGTGTGGACTGCGCTTGCCAAGATTGAGAAAAATTTTTTAAAACCACTGCATGTTGGACTGAATATGTCAAAAGCACACTATGAGGCAGAAATAAAGAATAAGAAAGAAAACAGAAAAGGTTGGGTTTTTTCTTCTTAGCATTGTTCATGTTCAGAAACTTTGGAAATAAGGAATTGGTGAATGCTCTGTAGATACATATTATTATTTAAGTATTGATTTTATTCCAGGTTTCACATACTATTTCAGCAGTTGCTACATTTGATATTAATACTTTTCATAACTAGGAAAATCTGAGCTTGTTTATCTCTCATCGCATTTGTAAACCTTACAGAGAGCCGACAGGAATGTCACATGAAGACATTCAAACCTTGTTCTACATTTATACTTTGATTTTAAGGATAGACAGGAGTATCTAAGTCTCTCTGTGAATATATAGTCCTTAGGTTTCATACTACGTGTGGGCAGGCTATCAGGAGAAGAAATAATTCGCACAGCAAATAGGTAGTGTCTTAAAGCCCAAAGGATTAGGTTCTGGATTTTTTTAATCTGATACTTTAGAATCAAACTCTGCTCAGGGTTAAGCAGATATATTCCAAAGGGAGTGAAAGCTGCTGTAGGCCAACTCTATATGTCAGATCTTCTGTCCCTTTGTGGTCTCTAGTATAATTAAGATAGCCCAAGGAAATTACTTCTGCTGCCAGAAATGTCAGTACAGCTTTTGCTCCTACTCCCATCCTCCAGTGTTGTTGTAAACTACGTCAGTACAAGGCAGGGGGAAGGGATTTTTTCTGAAGATAACCTGTGGATATCTTTCCAAAGGGAGTCCATTTAAAGAAAAAGCTTCCTGGTTCATTTTAGTTTCGTACATGTCTCGGCCTTTGACAAAGCATAGAGATCTGAGTTCAAGAGAAAACACCTACCTCATTAAAATGAATGGTTTAGTCTTTCTCCCCAGTGTATAATCTTTGTAAGCATTTCATTACTTTTCAAGTACATAGTCTGAATGTTGAAATTTTCCCCTCAGTTTCAAGATTTGTCCTTGTAGTTTTGTCTGCTGTAAGTAGTCTGTCAGGAACAGAGAAACCTGCAGCCATTTTCTGGATGAAGTTAAGTCTGTCATCGTAGATATCTCTGGATGTGAAAGTATTAAAATTGTGTCTAAAAAAACCAACCAGATTATGTATTTCCTTTTAAGGAGAATTTTCGCAATATAAAATTGCTTTAAGTTTACAGATATTGCCTGTTTGCTAATGTAGTCATAAATCATATAGAAACAGCAGAGATAGATCCTCAAAGTTCAATACCTTTGCTTTTCGGTATTTGTTCAGCTTTTATGCTTCTGATTTAACAATTACTGTCCATAAATACTAACTTACTAAAAGTTGTTTTGATTCTAAAAATAGGGTGGAATGGCAGCCTGATGTCTGGTTCTTTTCTTCTACAGAGGCACACAGTTCTAACACAATTTGTTCTTTGACTGTCAGTGGGGAAAAGATGCCTGCCATGACTACTGAAATGCAACTTCAGGTGAGTTTACAATTCCAGAAGTATTTAAATTTTCTTTTTAATCTGGAGCCAAACGTATACATATAGTCAATAAAGAAATCCATTTTTCTAATAAAAATAACAGTATTTCTTGTGTCATTTCAGGTTTTACAGTCAGCTCTCTTCACATTTGATTTAATAGAAAGTGTTCTAGCTCGAGTAGAAGAGCTCATTGAAGTGAAAGTAAAAGCTGGAATGGATGAAAATATATAGGTCATCTGAAATATCTGAGTTAACATACTTTTTGCAAGATCATTTTGATCATTAGACTTGAGTTAAAAAGAGGGTTATACCAACCTTTGGAGAATAGCTTAGAGTGGCCTCTAGAAAAGTTGCAAGTCCTGCTGTTCATTTGCCTGTTGCTGTGTTGGTTTTTTTTTTTTTTTTTTTTTTTTTAGGCAAAAACAAACTTATTTTGCCATTTTTGTCTGTGATCACAGAGATGGACTGAAAAGTGTTCACCTTCAGAACCTGATGTTTTTTCTGAAGCATAGAATGTAAATCTACAAGACGTTTTTGTGTTGTGCTGTGGTAAGAATGTATGATTGTGCATTTCTTGTTCTATTCATTTTCGAAGTATTTTAGGTAACTTGCTGTCTTATGATCTGAATTATAAAGATTTTTATAAAGTAACCTGGAGAGCTGTGAATTAAAAAGCACTGCGAAAGGAGTAGTTATTTTTATTAGTACTTTTTAATATTGACAAACAAGCTTCTATATTTACAAGCAGGTCTATAAGCTATAGATAACAGATAAAGGCAAACCAAAGCAGGTTTAAAGAAAAACACAGCAGCCTTGAACCGAGTAAAATATTAAAACTCAGTAAAAGAACAGATAAAACTTGTGTTTAAAAATGCACTGTGTGAGGCTTGATGCACAGCTGTTTTAACATGGCAAACCTGTATTTTGAAATTGTTTTGGTCATCGTTATCTCTAACGATAAAGTTTTCCTTAAGATTTATTACATAATTTGAGAAATTATTATAAACAGATGAATGCACACATGCAGAATCAAACCAAATAACAGGATAACACCTCTTTAGTGCAGCTAAACTACATTTTTATTTTGTTAGAAGGCATATATATATATATGTATAATGTATAGTATTTTTCACTGTAGAGTTATTTAATATAAATTTGTTTCAAATGTGTAAATTGTGTATATAGTTTTTTAAAATGTAACAGGATATTTAAGAACTTTCTATATATTGTTTAAAGTATAGCTGCTATAATTACTTTATGAATAAAACTTCTCAGTCAATTATTACTATGCAACTTCTGGTACTCCTGAAGCACCTTCCAGACTGGACTGTTTTCTATTATGTGGGTTTTTGTCATTGCCATTTTCTGAGAAACATCATCTGCGCGTGGCTTGGAATTCATCTTAGAGGAAAGAAAAATATTATGAGTGAATATTACGAGAAATGTTCACTTCCTGAAAAATGAATACTCAATCTATCTGAATCTGTAAGACCAGTCCTAACATGACTACTCCTATCAGCTTTGCATCTGCTTATTATCTAGGTAGTATTTTTACAGGAGTTGGAGTGGTAGCTTTGGACTAGATGGATGGTATTGGTCCCTTGCCCATGTTCCTTATCCTAGGTCAAAATAAGTTTATTTTCTAGGAGATATAATTAGGGACTCTCTTACAAGAGCTCATTGGATTGACTCTGTACTGTATCAGTAATAACATAAAGGCAACTGAGATATCTGTGGTCTGTAATGTAATGACTTCTTATGGGGCTGATTGTTAAAATCCAGTGTATTCATTCTGAACAGATTCAATTTTAAAGGATCAACAGTAATCTCAAAAGGTTTTAGGTTAATGCTGCATTAAGAAACTGGGCCAGACAGCAGCAGAATACAAAGTTAGAAAAATACAATGTTCAATGTTGTAATAAGCATTCATCAACTCTTACCATACAATAGATGAGATGTAGTTTCTAACATGCTTTCTAACCTGCTGCTTTTATTTTTGGTGGGATGGTCCTAGCATTGTTGTAGATAGTATCTAAGTTAGAACTCTCATGGAAAATGTTATTTAAAGCAGTTCAGGCTTCAGTGAGGATGTTTATACATGCAAGGTATGTTGCTGTTACATAGATTAAATCATACTCATTATGCTGTAGAAATAATGTATTGCTATGTGCATCACTTAAAAATCTGCAGATAGCTAGTGTTTTCAGATCACCACTTTAGAAGCAGTTAGATATTTAGATCTTTTTCATCTCGTGTTGCTTCAGTGCTGGTAAGTGAAATGAAGATATTCGTATTTCATAGAACAGCTTTGTTTGGAAGGGTCCTTAAAGATCATCTAGATCCATCTATTGGGCAGGGTTGCCACCCATTAGATCAAGTTGCTGTGGTCCCCATCCACACTGTCCATGAACCCCTCCAGAGAGGGAACATCCACAGCTTCTTTGGGTTAAGCATGGTGACATCCTAAATTACAGAGATAAGTAAGAGCTGAATTAACTTTTAAGTGTTTCATTTGTCTTCATGCATTCTGTTGATTTAAAGTTACCTTTAACAATAGTTTAAACATTTGAGCAGCAGTTCCACCTCAAGGTGAAACACGGATTGTGTAATATGACTTCATACATGGGCAGATAGTGATAGGATAAGGGGGAATGGTTTTCAATTGAAAGAGGGGGGATTTAGGTTAGATATTCAAAGGAAACTCTTACCATACAACTCTTACCATGCAATAGATGAGATGTAGTTTCTAACATGCTTTGTAACCTAACTACATCTCTGGAGGTGTTCAAGGCTAGGTTGGATGGAGCCCTGGGCAGCCTGATGCAATGGGTAACAACCCTCCCCAGAGCAGGGTGTTGGAACTAGGTCATCTTGAAGTCTCTCTTCCAACCCAAATGATTCTATGACTGTAATCAATATGATGCAGAAAGATCCATTAAGGAAAAACAAATGTTTTCCAAGTTAAAATACCTCTGAAGTTCTGAGGAGTAAATCATTTTAATCATATTTAACTAGGCTTACCTTAGCTATAGTTAGCATCAACTTAACAGTTTCAGCAGTATTGTGAACTGGTATTATACGTAAATTGCTTCCCAGGAATCTACACATCAAAATAAATTAAGGTTACTTTCAGAGTGCACATTTAATTATGCCATGAAACTCAAAAAACATTCTCACATAATGTAAACAACTTCTTTGTCTGCACCGCAAGTTGCTTTCATCTTCAGCTGAACAAGACTGCTTTTATCTTTGAAGGCAACAGGCGAATTCTGGCTGTTTTTATACCTATCTATCCCATCTCCACAGCATTTGTTCAGGTGGGGTTTTTGAAGGGCTTTTTTTGTTTCTAGGACTCCTTGACAGCCAGTCATAATTTCTTAAGTGTGCTTATGTTCAGGGAGAACAGGACACTCTTTTGTTGTGTTGTTGAAGACTGTTCTCAAAATGGCAGTAAAAAGTGTTTATTTTTTCCATGAGAAACAAAACACAGGAAAGGATCTAAAAATACTATGCTAAAAATACCTCCGAATTTGAAATACATCTTAGCGTGCTGTCTAAATATAACCATCTGTAGGGTTAGATAATGGGATGATTCTAACAATTTCATTAGGATGTCCAAGTCTACATAATTTAATCAGAGAATTAAAAAAAGAAAACAAGCAAGTCCAACGTATGACCTATGGTTTGAGAATGTAGCACATGTTCCAATCGCACCAGAGCAAAAGCTCAGTCACTGATTTACCTACAATGCCAGAACTCCTAGCTGCCAGCTAGTAATAAAGCACGTGTCTAAGGTATAATTGTGCCCTGCCGTAATCAAGTTGGTGTGGCCTGCAGTGATAAAACTGATATTTTTATTTAAATAAAATTACTGAGTTGCTGAAGGGAACATGTTTTCAAAACATCACATTTATTAGTGATCAATGCACATGCAAGATCAGTTGAAATATAGATTGAACATTAGCATTACCATCAGCTGAGAAATATGTTCCTGCTGAATGATGGCAGAGCTTTTAAGAACTCTCATGAAAATTTATGGAATTTTTGCAAATGGATAATAGATTTCCTACATTTCATCCCGTACACTCAGCTACTCATCAGCATTTGGCAACGTGCCCTGGGTGTAACAAAACTGGTGTTAGAATCAAGGAGGTAAAGATCAAAGACTCCATTAGAAGAGTCACTTTGATGTCGGGAGTGAAAATCAGCTGCAGCAAAGATTACTGTACCTACCAGAAAATGGCTTTGAATGGAAGTATAGAAAAGAGTCTGATATCCATTATGAGCAGATATATACTGAAAAGTGGAGTGTTTCAGGCTTTGTTTCCATTGTTTTAGCTCAGTATGACAGACTATTCCAAGTGAGGAGATTTTAAAACCTGGTGAAGAATCTATCGTTTACACCAAAGCCTTTTCATATGAATAAGATGTACTTGTTCTGTTTTGAATTTACCATGAAAACATGCTGCCAGAACTAGGACAAAAAAGTGAAAGAAAACAGCCTCATTTTCCAGTGTGAGAGAAAAACCTGAAAAAGATTATAAAGGCCTAAAGTGATGGGAGGGAAGGGTTTTCATTTTGGGGCTTTTCTTGGGGGGGGGGTGGATGGGGGAAGGAGGGGAACATGTCCTTTTGTTAACTATCACAGATCAATTCACTTAACATTCTTTTCATTTTCCACTAATTAAACGTATTCTTTGGCTAATTTTGCAGTGCATGAGCAAAATAAAATTCAACTGAATCCAACACTGCTGAGTAGACAGTTAAACTTTGTTTTTTCCTAGCAATAGAAGGTTTGATGTTGAAATAATACCTTCTCTGAATCCTAAACATTACATTCCATTCTTGTGGTCCATGGAGAGCAGCTGACAAAACCAGAAAACTATTCCGATGTATGTTTATAAACTTCTGAAGTCTTTCTAAAAACTGTTCTTCCCCTCTCACAAACAAGTCTTGAATGTCTACCAGTATAAATGCAACACCTGTTGAAGAAATTGATATGGATTTGTGCCAGCAATGTGATTAATCCTTCTCACTACAAATACCCTAATCAGGAAGCAATTCTTACTCAAGCATTAATTTAAAAGAGTAGAACAGAAAAAAATTGTGAATGAATTAGATCATCTTGATGGTTTAATGCAATCATGACATTTGGCCAGTAATTACTAGTAATTTTAGGATATAACTACAAATAACTCAGATGTTATTTTCTACCATAACATTAAAAAAAAAGTGTTCAATTCACTTAAATTATAGACATCTGAATGCCTTTGCAAGCACATGTTTCAGGAACAAGAATCTGCTGTATGGAATGAACTTAAAACAAATGCAGACTGATTGAAGACTTCAGCAATTCTGATTTAGAAATAAGATAAGCAAATACACCTGCAGCATCTTCAAATTGAACCAAAATGTCTACCATGAGAAATTAAATTATGGTCCCATCAACAAAGTTAAGTTCAAAGTTAAGGCATAAGTGTAGGAGGTTTTAACAGCAGAGGACACAAAAGACTGGGCCAATCGGTGCCTTGTTAGTCATTACAGTTCAGGAAAGCTTCAGATTAAGAATCTCATCTGCTTGTCTGTCTAAAGCACCCTCTGCTCTGGAAAGAATGGGTAGACGTTTCATGTTTGAAGTTTCAGTAATTTCCTAATCAAAACAGCTCCAGGAATCCTTTTCTCATCTTCGTTTTTGCCACCGGCTCTGCAAATTCAGCTTGGACAATTAAAGCCAAAGCTCTCTTCTATTTACAGCCACAAATACTAAATATCTTGATGGCCACTTTATGTTTAAGTGGCATTCAACATGCTCATTTATAAGAAGAATTTACTGATTATCACCAAATACAGTGTAGAGACCAATGGCAGCATTTAATTCATGAAATTCTCTGTTGCAGCCCCTGACTTATGTGCAATCACTTCTCCTTCCACTACTGTATGACACTCCAACACGGCAGCTTTTATTCAGTTCAGCACAGCTCATGACAGAGCCTGATCTTGTGCCTCATTAGAGTTTAGGAATTTAAAAACAAAGTACTGTACCAGAAAGAGAAAAAATCACGGAGCCAATTTCCACTGATTCTGAATATCGAACTCGGTGTTGCCTCTGTAGAACTGTGGAGATTTCGTGATTCTAAATAAATTACAACAGGTTATTGTCAGCCAACAAATCAGATGAAATATCCTCTAAACATTGAATAGTAATTGGAGAACTTTAGCATCATTGCTTAAGAATTTTTTTTATATCTTACTTTTAAAAAAGGAAATAAAATGTTAATTCAAAGTTAAATGTTAATTCAAAAACTTAATTACATTTCAGAATGTCTGTATTGAAAGATATCAAATCATTGAACTGTAATTTGTATGCACACGTTCAGTATGCCACAGGAAACCATTCCACAAAACATAAAAAAGCTCAAACATTTTACAGTCTATTTTTGTAATAAATGCTAAAATACAATTTGCAGTAGTGAGGAATGTACAATAGTGCACTTCTAAGGCTCCAGCTAATTAGACTACATTATTCTCGATGATGTCAGCATTTCATTTGGAAGATATTTCAGGAGATTTGTATGGGAAGTGATTTTCATTAAAGGTTTTTGACAACACAATCCAGTCAGGAAAACTGGAACATCGCACTATGCAGTGTAATCATTTGAGGAATTGAAGGAATTTGCATGTATTTTTCAGCCTGCAAAAAGTACTTCTGCAGTATGCTCTGCAAAAGCTGCTCAAACCCACACATTTTAAAGATTTTAACTCCTTTTTAGCTAATAAAATGTTTTTTAGATGACCCATTTAAAATGTAGGCAACCTGCCATAAAGAGAGTTTTAATGAGTTAGTGGAAGATACAAAAATGAAGTCTGGATGGTGAGTGAATCCTGAATTGATGCTTTGCATTTGTATGGAATGGGAATGCTCAGTGACAGTGCTTGTGAGATGTAACTACGATTTTGGAAAATTTCTCTGTTTCAGAGCCACTGCTGAAAGGAAATTATTTAGTACACAAATATGAAATAGCTTTAAGAACAGAAAAGCTACATGGCTAGAAAAGGAAGCTGATGATGCAGAACTAACTAAAATGGATACAAAACAGCATCTCCATTAAAAGATCTTCAACTTGTACTTAAAGATATTTCTGTATCTTTGCTCCATACTAATACTTGAGTAAGAGCCAGTTTCCCTGGTGTAGCTGATGTGATCGCTACCCTTGAACATCTCTCACTGTTACAGGTAACATTGCTCTTGAAACAGTTCCCAAACTGGAACAGCTTACAGATTGTTGTCCCCCAATAAACAGGCTTTAAACTGAGATGATTCAAGAATTATTTCAATACCATTCACCTCTTTGTACAGCAAAGATGGAGCAGTGACCCTATTAACCAAGCTCACACAAGCTATCCTTGATAGCGAGCCAAAGCCCTCAGCCTCTAAATTCTCTCAAGCTGGCATGAAATTAGCCTCAGCTGCAGGAACTAATTATCAGGTCCTTGACAGCCCCTTTCACTTTACTGGGGAATTGAAATTAACAGATACAAATATAAATCACTATCTGTAAGGCTATTTTAAGCTGAACTGCACATTTACTGAGTAATAATTTATCCCAACATTGACAAAGTAACGAAGAAAATAAAGCATTTAGGAAGAAGTTCAGAAAATAAAAAACATCCCTGATAGAATTATTTATAGTAGTCACTGAAAGCAGCATCAGTGCAGTGAAAAAACAGTGAGTCAGGAGGACAAGCCTAGAGCAGTGCAACTGGGAATAGCAAATGGCAAGAGTGTTAAATATGTACAGAAATAGTTACACAAAACCCACAAAAAACAAACAAACAAACAAAAAACAAACAATGAATGCAATGGTAGAAAAAGCTTCAGATAATGTCATTGCTCTATCCTTGAAGTATATTGGTTACATTGCATACAGTGTTTGCATGTACAGAACATAACACTGTTTCCAATGCTTCTTCAGTAGCCACTGCTCTTGGCAAACGGCATCATACCTGTAGACCTGTACTCATAATAACTGTTGTTATCCATTTTGACTGCTCCTGCCTGCTGTTATCTGTCATCTTCAAGGTTCTAATGGCTCTCTAAGGAAATGTCAGCTGCAATCCTGTAGCAGAAATGATAAGTCACAGCCTCAAACAGTGATTGAGCACCTGGTGGAAGGCAGGGCCAACCCAGGAGAGCTCAGCTGCA